CTTTCCCTGGACGTAATGTTGCTACATCACTTACTCGTTAATTATCTTTTTTATTAAAATGTACATAATTGGAATATGACAAAAATTTATGGCAAGTTTATGGCAAAAGTTATAAAGGTAGATGTTCGATTATTTTTCGTATTGGCTGCGCGCATTGCATTTTGTGTATTTGTGCATTGCATTTTGGGTCTATCTGTTGATTAAAATTCAGAATTTTGCTAGCTATATACATGAATTAAATTTGCTGCTTTGCTCGCTCCCTGTGGTAGCAATAATCGTTACATGTCAAATTTTTCTCCACTATAATAAATAACTGGACCCCCCTTCTGAACTAATATTTTTAAGTGCCCCCCCTTTTCCAGTCAAAAATACCTCATGACCCACCCCCTTTTTTTGCCAGCCCACTCCCGGTCATAAATATTAGGGAGCTTAAGCATGTAGGACGGCAACACGACGACGACGGCAACCAATACAATGAGTCAATGAAAAGTGAATAAATAATTAAAGCCCCGTGGGAGTTTCAGACGTAGTTGTCGTTCTGTTTACAACGGCAAATCACAGATTTTCACGTCGTTTATACAACGCCTGCATTTGAAGCCGTAACAAGTGCAACTTAAAATTCGGTTCAGTAGAACTCTTCCCAAACATAAAGCCAATGTTTTCAACTTCTTATACTGTATTAAATTCATACGAATTATAATATACGACAAGTTTTCTTTACTATCATTTATTTGAAGGAATTTGTTTTGGCCGTCGTCGTCGTGTTGCCGTCCTGCATGCTTAAGCTCGCTAATGAATGGTCCTTGAATGGTCCCTAATTATTCTGCAATTCAAAAATTGAAGCCGGCTGTGATTGCAGACTCAGGATATTCCCATGAAATGAGAAGACTCGTATGTTTGCTATTTCTTAAACAGGGAACTTAAATATTAAGTTAAACCTATTCCAAATACATTTTCAAACTATTCAAATGATGAAAGTTATTGTTGTTTTTTTAAGCGTTTATTAGCGAGTGGGAAACTTCAACATGACCGCCATCTATTCAAATTGGGTAACCGCTGGAATGTTTTTGGCTTCAATTTTACTAAAAGAGATGCGCTATCTAGTGTAAAGATATCTATGGTCACAACACACGGACTAATATAATCTTAATTGTTTTGTTCAAACATTTAATCTATATATATAGCGGCGTGCGTTCGATGATATTACTGACTGAGCAGCGTGAAAAAGAGAAAGATCCTTTCCAATTTAATTAAATGTGCACCTTAATTGAAACGAAATTGATTTTATAAATGATAAATCAGACTTTTGAAATTCGTGTATTTTTCAGCATTCTAATCAACTCCAAATTTTTTTGTCACCGTTTTTGGTGTAGAAACTTACGGTTTGCCGCAGAGAACAAACATGCATGACTGTAGTATACTGTATACAGTATATAATACATCGCACAATGACATACATGCAGACAGGCAGGCAGGAACTGACTAAAGAGAATGTACATAACACTAATAGTATATTAAATCATGTTCCTGTCTATTCCTGCAAACCCTTTTAACATCATTCTTTCCTCTTCAGCTAAACTTGTACAAGATTTTTTAAGAACCAGTCCCGTTTGGCCGTTCGGTTCGGCCTGAAGTGCATGGTTCTTGTATTTTGAGTAAATTTCAATGTAAATATAGTTATGGCTGTTATTATATTCCCCGGAACTAAAAACCCATTCGGCAATATACTGAGATACCATACCCATGCAAAACCGCCATTTAACCCACTTGAACACCTCCCCCTCCAGTCATGAGATTTCGGTCAGGCACATTCTACTTAAAAATCGGGCAATTTGCTAGGCCTGTCCTCCTCGACCTCGGTATGATGTGTTTTTTTTTAATATTGTTGATATTAATGTTGGTTACGGTAAGAGAAAGGATTAACATCGGACGAACTGGACGAGGCAAGCAAGTTTCGCGTTTCTTTTGACTATATAAATTTGTTACTTTATATAATTTTTATAATATAGCATTTGTAAATTCTGAACGCTGATTGGATAAGAGCCGTGTTGATATAACTCAATGTCAACACGGAAACGTCGGAAAATTTCTTTATATTCCTTTGTGCTATGTTGTAAAACAAATATAAAACATTTTTCCCGTATTGATATATTTTTCCGTATTGATATTTTCCGTATTGATATTATATCAACACTCGTGGAAATTGGAAAAACTCGAAATTGTGTGAAAACACTCCGCCCTTCGGGCGTCGTGTTTCCACACAATTTCTCGTTTTCCCAATTTCCACTCGTGTTTATATAATATCTGTATATCAACACGGAAAATGTTTTATATTTGTTAAATACAAACGTTTCACTTTTCAATACGTCGTCTTGACATCACGCCTGAATATTTTTGTTGTATCTTAAGTTATATAGCAAATAGTCAATGTGAATTTTTCTCCGACATTAAATCTCCTTTTAAAGGTTACCTATGAAATAGCTATATAAACGAATAAAAGAACATTTAGTTTTGTATGCTGAGACGGCTTAGTCCTGGCGGAGGTAATTGAGGGATAATTGACAATTGTGTTTCAAAAGGGCATGCACTTGCATGTCGCGAGCTCGCCGTCATCCTCGTCCCCAGGTCCCAGCTCGGGCGGCCCTCACAGTTCCTCCCGAGCTTAGGCCTGGGGACGAGGATGTCTCGCCGTCAATTAACTGCTTCGTCCCCAGGCGCCAATAAAAAGATTTCATGCGAGTCACTATATGAAAGGTTTACATGAAGTAGTGCATCGCGATGAACAAGCGCGGGGGTTTACAGAACGCTCATATCCCATCCCCCTTTGCGCGCCTATAAAATGTGA